AATTTTAACAGGCCTACTTACATCTTGATCGTATAGCCCAGGTTTATTAGAATCAAATAATATATGTCCTTGGACGCCTGGATATTAAGAGGAATCTTAGAAGTGGCGAAAGAATCGGGTAGATACATAGGTACATATCTACATACAGTATTGGCATATCATAGCACCCCCCTTTCAAAGTCATATTGTTTGCCACTTATGTTTAATTATTTATTTTTAAGAATTTTCAATTAAAATACAGTTCATTCTCTACAAAACTCACATAAACTTAAGTTTAAAACTTTTTAAAAGTCCGCAAAAAAGTGCAACAAATTTTCACCCAAATTTCAAACTTTTTTCTCAGAAGCGGTAGAATTTTTTTTGAATACCAGTTTTATAGCCATTGATTTTAGTCTAATAATGTGGAGTTTCAAGTGGCTAAAAATTACCGATGATTTTTTAATATTTTTTGTCCGAGGATGTTGCGGGTTTCTGCCATATAAACTAAAAAATTTATTTGTCTTATATGGAAACCCGCAACATCCTCGGACGAAATAAAATTCTAAAAAATCACGGTAATCTTTAGCACTTGAACCTTGCACATTATTAGACTAAAATTGAATGCGCTATAAAACTGTGTATTCAAAAAAATTCTACCGCTTCTGAGAAAAAAGTTTGAAATTTGGGTGAAAATTTGTTCCACTTTTTTGCGGTCTTTTAAAAAGTTTTAAACTTGAGTTAATGTGAGTTTTGTGAGAGAATGAACTGTATTTTAATTGAAAATTCTTAAAAATAAATAAATAAACATGAGTGGCAAACAATATCACTTTGAAATGGGGGTGCTATTGTATTGGCCAATACTGTATATCAATGGCCTCATTTGGACGATATTCAAGAGATCACACGACTTATTTAGCCAATGGCCAACAAAACTTTACCTCCTGCGTAACAACGAGGATTCTTGGCCCGCCTATAACAGAAAAGGCACAACTGTAACATAATCAGAGGCGCGTCCACAAATTTCTTTTAGGATTTGGGTATTTAGGGTTTGAATATAAATCGGATTTAAAAAAATGTATATGAACATGAGATATTTTATTTTTTTTTTTTAATAATGAAAAAGCTCAAATAAAAACTTTATCGAAATATTTTTAATGCAATATTTTTTTGGGCAAAATGAAATGTTAATTATAGAAATAGTAAGTTACCTTTTTAATAAAAATACCCGAACAAAAAAATTTTTCATTTTTTCCCAAATAAACCAAACTACTAAGAAAATTTTCACAAAAACCCCCACTTGGATGCGCCTATGAGCATAATGTATGTACCAAACGTATGAAGAAGAAATATGATTACCAGTTTAAGTAAGTATGTAGATTTGTAAATGCGTGCGTGTGTTAAAAATCGCTCATACTCGTAGTGAATGCCCTTGAAGAATACAACCGTTAGAGGCCTACGTACAAAACAGCTATAAACAGACTTAAAAAACGAAATGAGCTGAAAAAAGCAAGAAATTAATAGAAAATTAAATTGTGAAGCGAAATAAGTTCACCCTGAATGCCTAAAACAGTGGCCCAATTGAACTTTAAATAAAACGAAATATGTAAATCAGATTGGAATTCGTTCCAAAGGTATGTGGCAAATAACAAATGTTTCGATAGAAAAAATTATGCGCAACCAAAACTCTAAATGCAACGAAAATGTTATCAAAAAAAAGTTAATACATATGCATTGAATGAATGAATTCCATTCGACAATATTTCAACAGACGTATTTTTTTATGAATGAGTTGCCAAACACAATTTTGCTGCAATAAGTACAACTTCATACTTGAATGCGCATTAATATGAAATGAACAAAAAAAAACACCCCAGAAAGGAATGCGTCGATATGGAGGCGCAGACAAAAAACACTTTCCATTACATTTTCTTCTTTTCCTTGATACCATGCGAGAAAAAACCTAAATGCTGAGAAAATTTTTATGCTGCAGAACACAAACATAGCTATGTAGATTTTAAAATCTTTATAAGTGATTCACACAGCATTTAAAATCTTATTAATTTGGCTTTAATAATATCAAATTGCAATAAAAGAAATAATTATAATCTGTGTAAGTGTGGTCCAGAGAGAAAGATTCTTGCAATATATTTTCTAATATATTTGTACTTTGGAGTACTCAGTATCGATACTTTTAAAATCGGGTGCTGTCGATCCTTTTGAGAATCGAGTTCTGAGTACTTTTGGAATCGATACTGCCCAACACTAATATTTGTCTTTGCCTTTGCTTTTTTTTTGTTTTTTATTTATCTTCTTCTCATAATGTTCTTAGGTTTGTCTTTGCCTTTGACCATATCTCAATCATAGGCTTAACCTTACTCTTAGTCCTTGTTTTAATCACCATATTAATCTACACCTTAATTGTAATCTTATTCTTAAACTTAATCTTAGGCTTGATCTTCATCTTAATTTTAGTCTTAATCTTAAGCTTAATCTTAATTTTAATCTTCATCTTAGTCCTTATTTTAGTCTTCATTTTAATCTCAATTTTAATCTTAATCTTAATCTTCATCTTAATCTTAATCTTAGTTTTAGTGTTACTCTTGATCTTAATCTTAATCCTAATCTTAATCTTAATCCTTATCTTAATCTTAATCTTAAACTTAAAGTTATCCTCAATCTTAGTCTTTATTTTAATCTTGATATTAATCTTAACCTTTATGTTCATCATCAACTTAGCCTTCGTCAGCATCATCTTCATTTTTTCCTTCATCTACATTATGGTCTTTTTTTACCTTCATATTTATCTCCATCTTTATTTTCATCATCACTATTTTTATTTTCATCTTAAATCTTTTAAATTTAAATTTATCTTGATCTTTATATTATCTCACCTTTATCTTTTTTCTATCTTTATATTTACCTTAATTTTTACCTCCCTCTTATTAGCTTGGGATGTAACTATGTAATATTGATGCGCCTAAACGATACAGCGATTTCTATTCTCAAGTTACATACCTGATGACAGTACGAAATTACAACAGCGAGGTTTTAGTTTTTTAAACTATAATTTTATTTAGGTGCCTTTATCTTCATCTTTACTTCTTCTTCATCCTCATTTTCATCTTCATCTCTTATCTACTCCTTCATCTTCATATTCAACTTCCTTTTCATATTCACCTTCATTTTCTCCTTAGCAACTTGTATTTGCTTTTGTCCCGGTCGTTACATTTATCTCTATATTTATTTTTGTATTTGTCTACATACATATATCATTGTCTTCGTCTTTGTCTCTCCCCGCCCGCCGTTCCCTTTCTGTCCATTTATTCGTCGTATACCTATATACAACTTTCACCGTGCCGTTAAATATTTCACTTACATACGAGTATCTCCAAACTCGATTTAGAAGTTTCAATTCCAAAAAAACTCGTCGCCAAAAATTTCCTGCAGACCTCATAATTTTTACTACGAATAGTTATAATTTTTCTCTGCTTCTGCTGGTGATTCCGTTTACACGCGACTGACTTACAAACTACTACCCATACTCACTGTCTTGCTTTATTTTTTAACGTTGCTGCGAGCAGTATAGCAAACGTCACTCACTGTTGTTTTTATTGCAGTCATTCACCTGCCAACAACTTCATATTACTCATACATATATAGCGTCTAACTGACTAGTATAAACAAAGCCCGGCGCTTCAGATTGCGACGCAACAAACCGGCTTGGTTTAGAGCGTTTAGCCAGCTTGTACTATAATTGGCAGCTGGTCAGTCTGCTCTTGTTGTTATTATTTGTTGATTATTTTTTTTTTGCTTTAGTTTCGAATGTAGATTTTGTTGTATCCATTAATTGACTTTAGTCGCGTGAATCTCACATGTCTGATGTTTATTAACCTTTTGGCTTACAAAAATTTTGATTTGGCACTACGACCTTGCGAAATACAAACATACCTACATGCATAAGATTGTACATATGTATGTATGTATGAATGTTTATCAATTAATTGTGGCGATATTCTGTTGTTGTTTTTGTTAACCTTGCGATATGATAATCTTTTACTGCCAAAAAATACGTGGAATTCTGGCGTGTAAAAAAAAAAAAAATATTGACGAATTTCGCGCCGACGTGGGTGCCTCCCAAGCGTCTGATCTCTGATTCCCGAATGCTTATCGCCGTTACGGAAGAATCGAGACCCACGCAAAGTGTTCAAATTGAGGCTCCTAAAAGCTAGGCAGCTGAGTAGCAGTTGTTGCCATGACTCCGCTTTATTATCCTCCATACAACAGCTACAGTAAGGAATAATCAAAATAGTTCCTTAGCAAAAGTTCAGTGAGAAGCTTGGAGTGTGCGAAAAGGCTTTCGAAACAATATATATGTATATATTCGCACCACTCTTACACTTAGATAAAATTCTAAACCTGTATCCAGTAAATGTTTATAGTTTCGAATTAGCCGACTGAGAAATCTGTACTAAGACGCTTCGATCATTTTTCACAGTAAATTACGTGAATTAACTGGTAAATAAAACAATGTCGTTCAGACGTCATAACATCTAGCATTTTCTTAAGGACGTGTCTAAGATGAATTAGTGGGGGCTGCAATATTTTATCTATAGCAGTCAATATAAGCTTCCAGATCGCAGCTGAGTTGGAAGTAGACGAACCCGGGTGCCAGGACGAAAAAGGGATTGAAGGGAATGTGCGGGCTGATATGTTGCCAAAACCAAGGTGAACTTACCACGGGAAAGCAGCCTCGGCTGCCTAAAAACAGAATTAGACATGGTAATGACGTCGATGGCGAAATACCTGTTTGAATCGGTCGAACAGTAAGAAAAAGAAACCCAATAAAGTGTTAGTTGGTGAGCTTACGGCGACTTTTGAATCAGATTTTTTATAGTTACTATATTGCATCCTCGAGAAGGGGCAAATAGGATCTATACCTATCAAAGTGGCACTATCATTCGTAGATGGTGCGGATGAAAAGTGTATACGAAAACAGTACAATGGATGGCATTTAGTCTGACTGTTGATTTCTGTTGTTTTGCGTTAGTTCCAATAAAAACGGTGGATTGGCGAATATTCTTTATTCATAAAAACGGTTTTGTTATGCACAGACTAGTAGTAGGACGCATTTTCTGAGCGGACGGAAGGGTATTTATTCTGAGAGGGCTAGCACCGGAGTACCTTTACACTAGGGTGATTGACTCGGTTTTTCCAAACCGGTTTCCACCGGTTTTTTTGGCTATCTGCATGACTGCATGTACGCATTTACTTACTTTAAGTCATTGCATATTTTTTTTTAAATCATTTCCAAGGTAAAATCTTAATGTTCATATTTAGTAAATGAACAATAAGAAAACAGATTTGTTACTACATCACACAGCAACACTAGTAGTAGTTACTATTCATAGAAATGAGTACAATTAGCATTTTACTGTTAATTACCTTAAATGACAGCCACTTATTTTAACTTCATCGTGCGCTTTTATACCCCACTAATATTAATAATAACTTTTTTTGTAGTTATCACCGGTTCAACGGATGGCATTGGTCGGGAATACGCTAAAGAATTAGCCAAACAAGGCATCAATGTGGTGCTCATCTCACGTACCAAAGAGAAGCTCATGGCGGTGACAGAAGAGATTGGTAAGCAAGATTACGAAAGAAATTGTAGTTACAACAAAAACTATTGAATAAAAAGCATTGAGTAAAATAAACACAATAATGTGTATGCAACACAATGTAGAAAGTAGTATTTATAAGCGAAAAATACTTACTACGTATCTTTACGGTAAACCCAACTTATACGTGTAGGTACCTCACCCTAAAAACCTACTTTCTGAGGTAAGTAGTCCACTTGGTTATATACATTAAGGTGTATCACCACAAAACTTGCCGTTTTCCCACCGGGATTTTAATGTTTTTTTACATTTTAAGACTTCTTTAAAAATATTTTGGAAAAATTTTAAGATACGTGGGCTAGACCCATTTGAAAATACCTTCAAAAATCTTCTTTTTTTTGCTTGATTCCGTGGATAAAATATTTAAACATTTTTAAGCACGCCCTTTAGCCTAAACTCTTCTATCGTCTGAGGTCATTTGTTTTAATAATTTTCAAATCCTAATTTTATTTATAACAAAATTCAGCTCACATAAATCTCATTGTGGTTGTTCAGTGTGTTTTGTTGTTGCACAACAATAAAGTACACCACAGAAAAAATATTTTTAACCAGATAACCTGACCAGGCAAGCGTGAATAACCACATTGTTTTTCCGAAATATTTTGGCGATAGTGTTAAAATATAAAAAATTTTATATTTGCGATCGAAAAACAGCGCCGATTCTTTTTTTTCTTTTTTGTACTCTAATGGGCATATGTCGATTGCAAAAAAAAATATTGGCTTTCAGGTAAAACTGAGGGGATTTTTCATATAAATTTAAAAAGTTTCGTTAAAAAATCACTTAAAAAGTATTGGAGAACTAGTAGATGGATAAGGTAGTAGGGTATGCAAAATGTAATTTACTGTAAATGTAAATGTAATGTAAATTATGGTGGTCCTTAAAATATCAATACCTAAATTTAGTATGGGGCACCCTTTTTTTCCACGAAAATTTAAAAATAGTTTTGAAGAGAAATAAAGTTTCTCTACGTCGCCAAAAAAAAAGGTTGGGGCCATTTTTATAAGCACCACTTCAAAATTCAAAATCATCAAACCTTCAAATATCTTAGCTGCTCGTCTGAACATTATTTCCAGAAAAAAATTTTTTTTTTTAAATTTAAGTGAAGACAATAGGTCACTTATAATAACAAGAAACGCAGCTTTAACGTTTGCAGTTTACATTCGCTGCCATGGTAAGAATGAGCTATTGTCAATCGAAACAGGTATACAATTTTTACATAGAACATAGAAGAGGAGGTGAAGGTCATTTCTGGTAACTAATTTTTTAAATAATAATTTTTGGTAAAGGTACAGCAGGTGTTTATGTAAATCTAACGTATGTGCATACATATGTATTTCCAGAAAACGAGTACAAAGTGAAGACAAAGTGGATAGTTGCTGACTTCGCTAAGGGTCGCGAAGTTTACGCACACATTGAACGAGAACTGAGTGGGATACCTGTTGGTATACTAGGTAAGTGCTTTAATTAGTAGTTTTACTGTCTAAATATATTTAAGCACGGATAGTACAGCAAATCCAAACAATTTGGATGATTATGTTGGTTTTTCCTATTCAAAATTTTACTTATCAAAAATTAGACGTCCATTTTCATATAGGTTTTAGCATCATTACGTTATCGAAAGCACGTAACGAAAAGCAGAAAATCTTAAAAAGATTACATATGTGAAGACCAGGTGAAGTCACCACAGCACATATAGCAGTTATGGCCGATAAAATGTGCGATATTTATTATTTAGTCTAGATTGTGGTCTCGGGCTAACTAAAGGTTATTTTGGTTAAATCTATTGAGAAAAAAGACGTTTTCAAGTATTGAGCTTTGCTTTCATTCTTTGCGAAATATAGAACTACCCCTACGGAACCGCCTACATGGCATCGGTTCATCATCTTTAGCGGGTATACAAACTGATTTTGTACCTAACTTCCGCATTTTTCAGACTTCGAACCGAAAAATTCGGCAAATGATTTCATAATAAGCTTACATAATCCAATCGATGTGGCCCAGGTTCAAGCCCTAGGCTCGAATGGTGGCGTTCGTGATCGAGTAAATACTTGTTTCGAATCGAATCATTTTATAAACTAGAATGTGTATGTGGTGTGAAATATTCGATTTGTATTGGAGGTGCCACGCCCCCTTGATATAGCGAAATTATTTTTCTTCTATTATCATCCCTGTAAGGTCTGAAGAAGATGTCCAATAATTAAAAAACAAATCTGTACAGCTGTTCTCGAGTTTTACGAGCAGAAAAACGGCTTTCAAAATATATACTAGTATAGATAACAAATTAAATACATTTTTCAATTCAATGTTTCCTATGGAAAAATGTTTATGAGTATTTTTTTTTAAATATTTGCAGGCATTTGAAATTAATTTCAAGTATTTTTCAAAAAAAATTGGAAGCATTCAAACTTAAAAATTTGTTTTCTTTCATTTTTAACATAAATAAATAAAAAAAAACTAGAGATTTTTTAATAAATCGCCTTAGATAGATCGACGCGAAATTTAATTGTCTTTTATTTAGAAAAAAGAAATATTTGGGCTCTCAAAATTGGTTTGTCCACAGCAACCCCTTTTTCCCCATTGTACACCGTTGGAAGATCATCATCCCATTCTTCACTAGTTTGAAATGATATGAGAATCCTGAAGTAGAATTCAGAAGAATAGTGTAATCTGTCCCGTCCTTGATTCTGTTGTGGCATCCTCTCTTAAGTTCGCTTAAGATCGCTGATGGAGCACTTTTGGCGGCAACAGATATGCGGACTTGTGTATTTACTTACTTCGAGCTGCAGTAGGTTTTTATAAGAATAAGTTTCATGGAATATTTTCTATTTTTTGATGTTGCGTGGAGCGCCTGATCCGTGTTCAACCGAGTGGTAGTACGCATCGGTGGTCGCTCGGATAAGGTGTCTGCCATATAGACCTTTTAAATTAAATTATAATGTTGAAGATCAAAATACATACAAACACATGTGTGTGAGTATACGCTATTAGGATTTGAAAAGCTTTGAGTCACCCAATTTTATATAGCTAAAAAAAGACACTTAAGAGACCATAACACCTTTAAAGCGAGGCTTTTGTTAAAATTTGTTTTGCGCATTAAAAGCTCCTGCTAACCTAGAACCTCTTTTCCCGTTCCACAGTTAACAATGTTGGCAAAATGTACGACTATCCTGATGAACTTGCCAATATACCTGAAAACATCATTTGGGATCTGATCAATATTAATGTGGCTGCTGTAACAATTATGTCACGCATGCTCATACCAGAGCTAAAGAAACAGAATCGTGGTGCTATTGTAAATATATCTTCAGGCAGTGAATTGCAACCTATACCCTATATGGCTGTGTATGCAGCAACCAAACGATATGTGAAATGTTTCTCACAGGCGATCGAACGTGAATTGGCCGAACACAATATCACTGTACAGTGTGTTACGCCACTCTTTTTGGTCACAAAAATGAATCAATATTCGGATACGGTGATGAAAGGTGGCTTTCTAATACCAGATGTGAAAAGTTTCACACGTTCGGCTGTCTTCACATTGGGTAAAACTGCTGAGACGACGGGCTATTGGACACATGGATTGCAGGTAATTTTGTCAGAATACTGACTTTATTAAAAAAATGCTTTTGCACGTAGCCCCCTTCGAGCTGCCACAACTAGTAATTGTTTAATTTAATTTCATTTGTTTTCTTATCTTTCAGTATTTCTTTATGAAACTCAGTCCAGAGTGGCTTCGCATACGTATTGCGCACGTGATGACACGTCAATTGCGTCGAGAGTACCTGACGACACATGGAAAAAAAGTTTGAAAGACTGAAAAATGAATTGCACGGAATTTTAATTTCAACTTTTTTACTTACACGCATACACACACACACACACATGTAGATATTCATATTTTGCATCATTTTATTATTGTTAATTTTCCATATATATTTGCCTAGATATAAAACTAAAATTATCTTTCGTTCATCAAATGACAATTTTCTAAAATAAAAGTTTAAATTTATTTTTCTAGAAATTTATTTTTTATTTTATTTTAAGGATAAAATCCAAATACAAGAAGTTACTTTGTAAGAATATCGCTGAGATATATTAAAATTTTGAACGCTCTGAAACTCAAACCAGGGCTCAAATCGTAACATCCGTTCACGGATCGAAAACGATACGAAAGAAAATTACGTGATACGTCAGGCAGTAGAAGTTGAATGGGACAAAGAGTACGATCACGTATGTCATAATCCGAATAATGTGTTTTTACGTGACGAGTAGTACGATATCGTATGTGACGATTCGAGCCCTGACCTGAAACTAGTACTAATGTTACAACTAGCGACCGAAAGCATCGAGATCTTTTGAATACATGTGTCAAAGTGAAGATTTGAGCTGTGTTTTTGAGTACTTTCCAGTTCTTTTGTGAGCACTTTTGATTCAGAATCTGCCCCAGGCCTACAAAAATCATATTTTCCGATTCAGCTGGAGCAAAAAATGGTTCAAACAAGTAAAACTATGTTCCCATTAGCGTAATTTAGAGGTCAATCTTAATTTACGCATAAATTAAGTACAAACTAAGTAATTTCGCCTTGTAAAGTCTCTCAGTAAATTAAGTTGAAAGTACGTAGTTTATCTTAAACCAAGAACCAAATCACGAACAAATCAGTGTCGGCTCTAATTTTATCGATAATAATCGAAAAAAGTATTGTCCCATAACTGATATGTCATTGTGTTTGGACGTTTTTGTTTTTAATAATCGCGCGTGGTAGTTTGTAAAATATTTCCAGAAGCTTTCTCTTTTGATCACTCATCTAAAATCTAAAAAATTACCACAAACAACTCAGAATATAAAAATATACGCAATTACTCACATTCTCGATCTCTTTTGGTTAAATAAACAATAACACAGGGTTGCTACAAAGCTGTCAAGACAAATACAGAATCGCGTGTATGAACGCACTTAATTTAGTGAGGTATCTTAAACGAAACTAAGTATTTTATGTTGGTAATGTGAACATAGTTTAAGAGTTTCTCTGTATTATGGCCTCGAACCGACATATATACATCTTTCATTTGAATCAGAATTCAAAGCTCTATTGGCTCCTGCATTCGGGTTTTGAGAGGCGAGTCTCCCCTGAACCGTTTTTTCCATATTTTTGGCCTATGTGCGCTTTTATTCGAAACCTAAATGTTTCGGTACCGAGTATCGAGAGTATCGGTACCGAATATCGATCAATACATAAAAGTATTGACTCAGCACATCACTACTGCTGTCATTTCGACTGTGACGTCAGCAAAACAGCTGATTCTGTCAAATTCACTGAAAACCGATTAGCGATGTTGCCATCGGCGCCACCTGCTGTATTCTCTCCACCTCGGAGTGAAGTAGTTTCAGCATTTACTGTTTAATCGCAGTTTAATATTTCTGTAAATTGCCGTTATATGGGAGGTCGGAGGCGTTATTGTCCGATTTCAAAAATTTTCAACAGGTTTCTTAGTTTCACTCCAAGCAATGTTCGTACCGAGTTTGGTGGCGTTAATGATGCGGCTACTGGGATACAGCATTTCTTCATAAGTGGACTGTGCCACGCCCATTTACCAAAAATTTGATAATTGTCTTATTTTTTACCAAAATTCTACTTCACGTTCCATTTTTTAACAATTTGGACACAGTATTTACACAAACATCGCAGTTATTGTATTTTTCGAAAATTCCGTTATATGAGAGGTGGGCGTGGTTACCGTCCCATTTCGCCAACTTTCACTGCTAACCTACCTCGGCTACATTTCAAGTGTGTCCGCCTGCGATCCCTTCGCAAATCTTCCGTAGACACAATTTACATTCTATTTCCATTACTAGTAAACCGGATTAAGGATTCCAGGGAAAGATTATCAAAATGGGTTTTCATCTACTAACTAAATCGGTATTGGGCCAAATGATCGAGCACCACTATAAACCACCCGACATCAGTGAACAGTTGTTCGGAATATGAGCTCATTCACAGGCAGCAGCTACTTTTCGACCTAAACAGAGACCTCTAACAATAAATAATCTACTCACATTAACTTCAAATTCACGTGCATTATTCTAAGTAAATTAAAGCCTATCAATTCTTCCAAAATATTTCAAAAACTTCCTGTATGTATGTACAACTTCGGATATGAAACTGAATTAGACTTTAATTGCATAGCAATTTGACAGCGCAACAAGCCATAACCAATACTCTTCAAGCTTTTTTCCTATAACTGCAGCATTGCAGCAATCGCCGATCGTCACTACCTGAAAATGTCATTCAATTGCATAATGCAAATAAATGCAATTTTTTATTGTCTGCAAGTTTTGTGTATATTTTCCTCTCGTTTTTTTTTTTTTGTGTTACAAGTTTTCTGTTTTTATTTTGGCTTCGCCGGTCACCAGTCAAGACAACAAACCGGTTGACTGCGAATTGGCAAAGTGACCGCCGGTATTGCATCAATGGATGTAAAATATGTGCATATGTATGTATGTATGTATGTAAGTTGCTAAATTTATGTGCAAGCGCTTACAAGCATTCAAATACTTTTTGTAAAGTGCAATACTTGGCTACTCATATGGTATAAGACGAAATATGCTGGAGTAATTTTTACATGCATTCATCCATATACATATATGTAAGTAAATTAGGGTGGTCGAAAAATGCATGTGAAAAAGTATAGTCGGATAATTCTATACCGAAAAAAATTTACCCCTGCTCTTTTATTTTGTAATCAACACATATTTAGAGGACGCTTAATGCGCTCAAAGTTCGTAGAAATGGTATAGAATTCTTGAAGATCAATATTTTTCGATCGGGAAAATCTGTTTCTCTTCACGAGATTCCCAATAATAACAACTAATAATTAATTTAATCGTTTCTTCATAGTAACTGTATTTTATAGGCCCGCCAAAACCCCCGGAAAATGCAATGGGGGAATAAATAAACAATCTTTAGTATTAAAAAATGGTTAACTAAACAACTGGGTATTGTTGTTGGAAGTCGCCTAAAAAGAACCAAAGTTTTACGATCGGAAAATATTGATTTTCAGGAATTCTGTACCATTCTATGTTACATTTTTTTGACTTTACTTATTTTGGACCACCCTAATGTGCATACAAATGTGTTGACATACATTCAATTACATTCACCATGTGCGCGTACTATTTTTATTGCTTCTTTTTTTTGTCCAGACCTCCATCGTTATCGGTTGACTAAACCGCATTCACGAGTTTTCGCATAATTTTGGACGTCGGGTAATATTTTGTTTTACTGCCGGTTTCGCATTTAACTGCACCGACCAAGTGTTCCAGCGTCCGATGGGAATTGCGTAATCTTTAGCGTTGCAGTCAGATATGAATGTATTTTCGTATGTACTTGTGCGTTGATGTAGTATACATATAAACAAATTTACAATGCCATACCCAGTTCGATGTAAACATTGTTTTTTTTCGCTACATCACATCAAAGCCAGCAAAACGTTAATGGGTAAGATGAATATCCGTTGCAAAAATATAAATTTTAAACTCGTGCGTACATAATGGGGTCAGCGCGTTCACGGCGATGCAGAATATAAAAATTTAAACTTTAAGATAAAAAGTAGAAAAAAAAATATTTTTATAAATTACTTTATTTTATGGTGGCCACTTGCAACCTTGATGCACATACGGCTGTAATTTTTTCACACCTTTAATGGCCTGGCCTTTCTACGTATTTACAATTAACATAAAAAATCGCACTGCAAGTGAAGAGATCGCTTGTGTGTAGCACACGTTGTGGACACACGACCGTTAGCCACTTCAACATAACCTAGAAAAAGCCCTAATTTAAGTTCCGCAGACAGCTGGTAACTACTGCAGAGAGTTATTATAGAGCGAGAAGCTGAGAGCTGAGAAGGAAATGCTAAGATAATTCCACCTCGTTGTCCTCCAAACACCGCATGGTTTTCCAAAGAACAGTGCCCGGTGGGGACACACGTCCGAGGCGGCAGTGGCGTCTATAACCGCACTCGGTCGGCCAAAAATATTTTGCAACTCTTGTGTGGAATGAGTTTTCTTCGTGCCTAGAAAAATTTGGTTCAGAGACAAAGTGGTTTTGGGCGTTGTGCCAAAGTGGTGTGTTCCATCTGCATTGTCATTTTTCCAAATAAAATGAAGACACAAACAAATCCTCATTCATTTCGAATGTGAGAATGTGAGGGATAATACTAAGCCGATTGCGAATGTGAATACGAAGGCTTATACGAAGATGTACAATATAATAAGTCAGTGTCTTTTTGATTAAGAAGTTTTAAAGTGGTAAAAACTTATGGTTTAACCACTGAGGTAAAGTACTCCCTAGTTTTGTCCGCAAAAAAACTCCGGAAGCATTGTCGCGAAGAAGCGCCATAAATTTATAACTTAAGAAAGTTTTATTATACGGCAATTGAGAAGTGCATACGCAAAAATTTCATAAATATCATAAAGGAAATTTTTGCACATGCAGCAGTGTATAGCATGTATTTTGGCGCTTGGGGATAGTAGTCGCGTCTAAGCACTAGTATCCGGATTCCAACATTTGCTATCGCTAATTTTGATCGCCAAAAATCTCCAAAACAATAGAAGACGCCCCTAGCAATATGCAACATATCTAGTAATCAAGTAGTATCAAGAATCTCAATATGACGGAAAATGTAAAACGGCGACCCCTACGTTTGGACAACAAAAAAAAAAATCTTTCGAAATTTCCATACAAACTTAGATTCCATGGTGTACGGCAAACTTTTTTTCTGGTACGGTTTAATGTACATACATATGTACATTTTTATGTATGTATGTAATACACACAGGTATGTATGCATTCGCATGTATGTAGGTACTTACTTGATACAAAACACACGTACCAGGTATGAATTACACCATATCTAGTTTTCGTCATCTAAACGTTTTCCCTTCAATGTTTTCATGCTTAATTAAGCATTGAAGTTC